TCAGGCGCCTTGCAAGGTGTGTCTCCAAAGAGCAATTAACGACACTCTCATAATGGTGACGTCATTCTCCGAATGTGAATTACCTAGATGATCAACTACGCATCAACTTGGGGAGGAAACGTATTTGCGCAAATCCGGATGACTGTTTGGCGATTCTTTGCATCCCCCTAAATACCGAATTATTTGTATATTCTGAGGCCCCGGTCGTTCACAATCACCAGATCGACGTGGGCGTATAGCGAGAATGATTGTCAAGTCTGGCTCTTGCTTTTTAGTGACTGTGAACGCCAGCAATTTCTCCTTTAATCCACTTGTATGTATAAGTAATTAGCCCGACCATGGTTTGCACGCGTTCGCATGCAGAGAAATAACTCTGTAGACATTATCCAAAACATCGTTGGACTAATAATAAGAATACAATGACATTGGAACACATCAAAGTCACTTAGTACTAGTAGCACTTCCGAATGCGTTATCCACAGTATCTCGAGTTTCTTGACCGAATCAATAACTTATGCCGCTCGAGAATTCCCACATGTTTGTTTGATCCCAGTCTGCTGAGGACTTTTGACATTTACTCTCAGAGAAAAGAATGTTAGAGCTCACTTGCTACTTGATTACGCTCCCTTTCAAGCACATCGATATCAGACGACCTGCAGTGAACCGAGAGAGTCATCTAAACCTTTAGATGTCTGTTATGTCTCCATGATGGTCTTCTGTGTATTGTAATGAGATCCACCAGAGCTGTCAGAAAGGCATTTTGGGTACTCATTGGCTTCTGTGCAGTCATTTGTTAAACATTTCTGTCCAACGTTTTGCTGGAAATTTCACCAGTAATGCTCTTGCATTTTTGGTTAATTCATACAGAAGGAAATAAGTTTGTTTACGAGTTAACTTATCAACGAATTCAATATGCCGTACAAACCAAGCCTGTGTGTTTCTAACCAAAAGAGTATACTATTATTTCCCATGGACATGTTTTGACGAATGATATCAACTTCTAGAGGATTGTGGTTACAGCAGAGGATTTTGCCCCACGCGTACGATCCAGGGTTCGATCCCCAGTTAGATCGGTAATTCACACCACTAATGGAAACCATCAACCTTGAAACAATTCCAGTTTATCTCCGAGTATTGCATATGACAAAATTTCCTTGGTCAAACGAAATAAAATTCTCAACTACTTTTACTAGTACTCCAATTCATCATTGTTCTGATCAAGTCATTACTTTTGAAGGCTAGTGCTGATATGATCCAGGTTAGATACCTGAGGCAAACTTGTAAATATCGGGTGTGATACACCGTGTACGGACAAACGGTAATAACACAGTTCGATCGCCTGCTGATGATGATCGAATAAACTACCAATATGCCTACGAGTTCCCCCGGGTTTGGCCCCTGATGGAATGGACATTGTCTATGAAAACTTACAAGGTCGAAATAGTCGCACAGTCCACACTTCTTTTTTCTCTATGTCACAAAATGTCCCGTTCACCTGTATGAAATTTTCACGCCGCCCCCATTTCGAAAAAGCAATATCTGTGGTCAGTTGAAAATTACACTGTCTGGTCACTTGCTTTCTATTGAGCTATAGATAAATAACTTGACTCAATTTGCTACCAGCTTCTCTCAGTTCACCATGATGCCATCCTCTTTTCTGTTTTGACCCGAGTGTTCAGAAACATGGCTGACATAAAGTAAGACGAACAAGATTTCTCTGGCATTTACACCACTTGTGTAGAGAGTAAGGATGTGAAAAATTTTCATTTGCAAACCAATAAAACAGACGAATTCTTGTTTCCTCAAAAAAGGCTTCATACGAACCAAGCACCAAGTGACAATATTCGAAATTGAGGCTATCGAAATAGAAGTAAACGACTTTCTTGATGCACATGACCAGATATATCATTCCCGCTCACCAAGAACGACGCTTCCAGTGCATCCGGTGAATGCATATTAGAACCAGAAGACTCGTCCGGTTTATCCGGGAACGTGTGAATGCAAGATCTCTCTGACTCTTCACTCGCCGCGGTCAATTTCCTTCTTTCCTCATCCGTCATGACCGTGGTCTGCTTTTGGTCGTCGTACGGTGCGTTATTCAGAAAATATGGACTTTGAATCACGGAGGACGTGCTCGATTTGACGATCTGCTTTCTGTTCCTGTCGTGAACCACAACTACCGGTCTCTTTTGACGCATGCAGTGATCACAACGAATGGCGTTGCGTTTGTATAGCCAGAAAAAAATCAGGATAGTAGCAACTATCAGCAGGAATAGAACTGTCAATGGAATGATTAGTAAAAGCGGGCCGAATGTGAGTCCTTTTGATGTGGTGCTATTGGACTGGGGTGGATCATTGAGATAGATGGAACCAACACTTGATTTCGGGACGTCCTCGATGAGTAGTATCAGGATCTGAAATGTGGCACAATTTTGATGTAAGGCGTAGTTTCAAAATTTGATTAACTAAAATAACTCCACAAGTAGAGGGAAAATTACAGTAATTTATATTGATCTTTGAGAGACAATTCGAAATAACGAATTTCATTTTATTTAGTATATCCCAACAATGCTGTCAAGGTGAATCCGGAAACCACCAGCATTATGGAAGTAAAACACATTACTTTTATTCCTGATAAACAAAAGCTTCATGTGTGACAGCTGGCAAAGCCACTCCAATCGATATTTCTTATGGAGCTAGGATGTACCAAATCTATCCATAGATGAGGTAATTCATGAGTAAATAGACAGAAATTGAGTGACACCTTTCTGTTTCTCAGAATCTGTTTCAGTGCGCAATTTATTCTATAGATGAACATCTTGTTGAAGATAAATAAATCAGTTTTCCTTCAGTAAAATATTGCAGAGGAACTGATAGATAAAAACATTGAAGAACAACAGATAGATGCCAATTGAAAGATGTGGAGTTGAATTGTCGGAGCAAAACCTTTAGTAGAGCTTTTAGCATTTATCTACCACTAAAGGGTCAAATATTTTGTGCACGAGAATACAACGCTATCTGCGAAAAATAGTAAACCATTAGTTCTTGACTGTGTATGAACGAAATTTTCAAAGGAGTATTACTTGACCGAGAAGCGGAGCTGCAAGTCACATGAATTTTTGGAAATGATTAATGAAGAACATCCGTCAGGAATTAATCGAGTTTGTCAGAATATCAATTATGCTAGAACGATTCATCTGCAGGACAGTCTGAAAAGCCTCATTTGCACTGGTTCATGCCTATTCAACAAATGACAAGGTAGCAACTATAGACATAGCATTACAAATGACCCCACGTACTTTCAAAACGCACAAGCAGTCCTGTGATCAACCTATCAATCAGGCACTCCGCATTAATCATCATACATCCAAATATTTCCTTATTACCAATATCAGAAACATTGTACATTTACATCAATCATAATACTCGCCGCACCCCACAATTCGCAACAAAGTGGTACAACGTTGGGGCTGTGCCCGAGACAAGGTTCATATTGTAATTTACACGCAACAGTAAGTTGGAGGCTGAAACGAATGCTCAACTGGTCAGTCACAAAAGTAAATCTGACGACATCGAGCACTAAGGATAAGAGGTATTCGGATTGTTCAAGCCTAAAACATACTTAGTTGTTAAGGATTTCGGAAACCGTAATGCTTACTGAACAGACTCATTATCTCGTTCAGTAAGTAAAAAGCTGAACCAGTATGGTCTTTTTTAGGAGATGGCCACTTTATTCGCAGTCTGTGTTGGAGCAATACACCGGGTGAATCGAGATAAAAATAGTGGGGATAGACGAGATATTCTGCTGTTTCTTTTTTTGATTAAATCCAATCTTATTCTATGCAAAACTGAGTGTACCATTTCCCGCGGAATATTAGGATATTGTCAAACAGCTTTCTCTTCAACCATGTCCTTGTTTTCCATTCAGCGTCAATAGTAGTGCACTTCCTGTTTACTTTTAACCGCCCAATGTTTTTATTATCTGCAGCTCCCCACCGACTGGCTTTCTTTGGTCTATGGACAAGACTTTGCTCACTTAGTAGGCATGATAACGGTGTCATGCTCGACCGTGTAATCGTAACCCTAAGGGTCCTTCTTGCAATCACGGTCACGTCACAGTGGTGGTGACCCGGTGGCAAACGTCAGCCAATTCTCACCCCGGAAGATTTATTTTCGAATCCCACCAGCGCCGCCTGATATTTTTACTATCCCCTGTTGTACAGTGGCCCCTTAACTTGGCCGATTTCAGCTTCCTGAAAATTATATCATTTAATATTCAATAAAAGGAAGTAAAAATGGAAAAAAGAGAAAAAAATACAACCTGACTTGTTGTGAAGCCTGACAAATTGTCTACTTTGTGTTAGAGATCAATTTATCTATGATCATCTCAAAACAGCCATTATTTATTTTTCATTTGCTTCGGAACTATTGGTTTCTATTTATTGTCCAGCATTGAATCAACTTAGGGATTCTATTGACGGTGTCTCATCTTCCTTTGTTAGCCCACAAAAGATGTACAGAATGATTGACGAAACCCAAATGGTCATTCTAGTGTTTCACCCATTATCAGTCTTCGTCTAGCGAGGTTTTATTTTTTTATTACGTCACCACATTGAGGAAATTGCCATCACCGTCTTCAAAACCGAGGCTTCAATGTCAACTAAAGTTGAATGGAGAGGACAGTTACAACAGACTACACGATTTGATTGCCTTTCTACTGATACAATACGTCAGTCAGTGTTGTTTGACAGTTAGCTAGTTACATGGGAATAAGACAGGATGGAATGCTCTTTTTTACCACTATGAAAATAGTAGGAGTTTGTATAACAATAACTTTTACATCCACAAGTCGATTTCCCATCTGCCACTTGCAATGGATTCTGCAACCCTAAAATGTTAGCGCAGCTAGTTTTAAATGGTTTGTCCGGTCCATTCAACCATTCATAATCATTGGACTTCATGAAATTTACGACAACTATTGTCTGTTTGACCGGTGTGTACACTGAGATTAACATTATTATGGCTGAATATGGCGGTAATTTTGATGTATGTGGGATTGGAGGATAACACTGGAGGATAACCTTTGCTCAAGTAACTCGGTCAACCAGGGACTAACAGCTAATGATATATCATGTAGTTTATCGGTCATTGGTAGTGTCTGTTTGGTTGCTTGATTTAGGATCTTTGCTACTGGAAGATCGAACCAGCGTCACTGACCTAGAGTCTTCTTAGAGGACTGAGCTAATGTAGGCCCATTCGATGGAAGAAGCTCCCGTTGACAATCCATGTATCGAGGGAAAAAACAGCGTGGTGTATTTTTCAAGATGCCTCAAAAATTTAAACCGAAGATTAACCTAATAATAGAACCAAAATCGGACCAGTGAGGCAAACGATTTGAAGTACGTTACGAGAAATGCCTCTACAGTTACTAATATTTTCACCACTATCTGCTTCGGTATTTTTGAAAGGTACAAAACGCTACTCATGAGATCACTCTGGGTTTACTCGGAAAACGAATACCGAGTAAGCAGTTAAACATTATTGTTGACAATGGGCAATGAACTCGAAATTTCTGGTTGATATCGTATGAGGAGTGAGTGATACTTGCCATGAATCAAAGACAATTTACCATTTTCGAAGTGCTTTTGTTTGCCAAGTATGTTATGATGCAATGATTTAGCTCACAAATCGTGCATCCGCTTGCGGGCACGTTTGAGCCGGCCAATGACTGGAGCTCACAGGGCTAAGCTATACTAGAAAATGAACTCAACGCAATTGGCTTTTCACGGATTTCTCACCGGCCCTGCTCAAGTACACGATGAGGCATGCAGAATTGCAAACAAAAAATTGATCCGTGGAGGAAATTAACGAATGGAGTGAATTTGAATATCGGGCCGTGTAAAACAGTGATCTCAAAGAGGTCCTCTATGGTAGTGGGGTATAGTTTGGAAAAGCTATATTGCCTAAATCATCACAGAGACAAACAACCCACTACGCTGCTGGTAAAATGCGTCTAGTAAGATCGTTCTGAGGATCTATTAGATAGAAGCAATTACCGTAGGTTCAGTTAAGATTGGTGCACTTGGTTACATACTACAACATCTTAAAAGCTTTTTATGTTGGTTCCAGGAACTAATTCTTCTGTCCTAATTCAGGCCAATCGAACGGTTACTAATTGCGATCTCAAAGATCCCAATTACTTATCGGGTTCGTCGATATGAAATATTAACAACTCGCGAGTCATATTAAAAGCAGACTTCAAAGACATACCATAGATTTGCTCGACACGTTTATATTTGTTTTTAAATGGAGGCACATCGGATTACTTATATGTCTTAACGCCCAAACTGGTATTATGTGTTGGGTGGAGACAAGCGAATCAGGATATGCTCGTAAAGGATTAACCATAGAAACCTACTCAGGTCTGAGCAACCTTCATACGTTTATAATACACATCCGAATTGAATAAAAGTCACCAAAGGTATGACTAAGGAGGATTTTACACAAGCAGCCGATAAATGTGGTGGCGCAATGGTTTTTCTACAACACGATGCAATAAAATCCAGCCTGAAGATAATGTGTAGTTGTGTTTTGAGGACACAAGTGTTTTGAAACTCGCTGAATGATAAAAAGTATAATCCGTTGAACTTAACACAATCTCAGTAACAGAAAAATAAAATTGATCCCTACATCAATTTGAACTCCATACTGACGGTACTCTTTTGTTAACCATCTGATGCGAACTATTCGAAAAATCGGTGCTTCTCCATGGGTTTTCCAATGTCTCGAAAGTTTCTCGTCTACTCATGAACCACGCATTATTTGTGGCTAACATCATGGAGGACCATTCATTGCAAGACAGAAGCAATTGCAATGAATGTGTAAACAATACGGCACAGTGAGATGCAATATTGGTGTTTTGCATACACCAACCCAGAGATCAAAGTGAATTCACTACTCGATACTCAATTTTTTGTGCACACAAAAACTATGAAGTCGCTGGATTTGGATAATTTGTCGGGATCAAAACAACTGTTCACGGAACTCTCAGAAACCTCACCGTGCGGCTTGGTGAAGATAAGACTACGTTGTCAGGCAGCAATTTCGCATTGTTTCGTTTCCGTTAGTTTAAGTTTTCTTGTGAAATTGGCTGTCTATTGGGATGGAAATCTTTCGCCGAATAAATAACAAAGAACCG